CCGTAAAATGCCTGTTATCTGGCCCAAAGATTGACTTCCATGATCTTGCTGCTTCATCTGGAAAATTGTTTAGGCCATAAATCTCTGTGCAGATTAGTGAGTCTCATTCCCTCAAGAGGAATTACATTTTGCCCTTTTTAACGTTAACTCTTTGGCCTCAAGAAGTTTGTTGATTTTATTATTGATAATAAAGTTTGATATTATGTATTCTACAGAATATTGGGTTATTTTTTAGCTAATTTGGCTCTGAATGTAGCCAGGCAAGGTGATTACATGATTTTCCATTGACACTGCCAAAATACAGGAGGTGGTGGAGTAGACACAGTCCTCCCTTCCTCTTGACATAGTTCAGTTTGGGTGGGAAGGCTTTCAATTTTACATTTTATTAATGTTATTTATGGTATTCAATCTCAGAAGATTGTGCTAGTCTTTCATAGCAAAAATTAGTGTCATTGGCACAGGAAAAATTTGCTGATAAAATTATTCTAAATAATTAGGGATTATTTTGCTTTATTTTTGCAAGTCACATTTTTCATGCTGCAGTGATTAGTGGACAGAGATAAACATTTGGAAAATATTGATGAAAGTGCAGTAACTTTTGAATTTAAAATACATATTTAGAAAAAATTAAAATTAATTACAATCTTGGCGTATTTGTTACTCACCCGCATATAGGTCCTGCATTGAACACTGCAATAATGCACAGGTCTGTGCCTTGGTTTTTTTTTGTTTTTTTTTTTATGTGGCAGATTTACCAATATATTCTATATTTGTCCTTGAGTTTCTAGCAGCTCATTTTCATTTTGTTCCTTGCCATTAAAAACTACCATCTTCTTCAGGGGAAGCATGCATTTTGATTGGAGAGGATGCAATGCCATGAAGAAACATTGCAAAGGATGAGCAAAGCCAACTGTTTCATTCCACAATTATTTACCTAAGAAATTGAGATTATATAGGGGTTTTTAAGGTGTTTTGGCCAGATCTTTCATGACTAGGTGTTCTGTTCTATGCTTATACACACTAATATATTCTTTAACTGTTTATGTTCACGGGTGGAAGCAGAGAACAAAATAAACAAGACATTTGCACTGTTGGTAGAAATTAGGAAAGAGAAAAGCAAGCTGTCAAAATATGTAAATTATTGCAGCTTTGCTTAAGGTCTTTAGCATGCCTGTGTACCCATGCAG